TTCAAGTTTTAAAAAAATAGCCCGATTAAAAATGTGCATGTCACAAAATAAGTTATCTAAAATGGTCATAGAACACATAAAATGTGCACACTATCATTATTAATCAGGGATATATACAGTTTAATCACATTGAGATTCCACTACATATCACAGTGCCTGCATGAAAAAAAATTGATAGGGGTGGGTGTTTGGTGCAGCAATGAAGATGCCAATTGGGGTGCCCAAGTTCCATATCAAAGTGCCTGGGTTCCAGTCACAGTCCTGTATCAGATCCAATTTCCTTCTGGCGTGCACCCTGGGAAGAAGAGGATGATGGTTCAGGTACTTGGGTTCCTGCCACCTATGTGGGAGACCTAGATTGAGTTCTGGGCTCTGGCTTTCACTAGCCAACTCCTAGCTGTTGCAGATATTTGGGGAGTGAACCAGCAGATGAAGATTTATCTCTCTTTCTACCTTTCAAATAAATAAATAAAAGTAAACAAATTCCTTTAAAAATAAAATGGAAAAGACTGATAATAGCCAAAGTTGTTCAGAACACAGAAGCTGTCTTCCACAACCCGTGGAATTGTAACTTGGCACAACTACTTTAAAAAAAAAAAAGATTTATTTTATTTATTTGAAAGACAGAGTTAAAGAGAGAGATAGAGGCAGAGAGAGAGAGATCTTCCATCTGCTGGTTCACTCCCCAGTTGGCTGCAACGGCAGGAGCTGCGTCGATCCGGAGCCAGGAGCCAGGAGCTTCTTCTGGGTCTCCCACATGGGTGCAGGGGCCCAAGGACTTGGGCCATCTTCTATTGCTTTCCAAGGCCATAGCAGAGAGCTGGATCAAAAGAGGAGCAACTGGGACTAGAATTGGTGCCCATATGGGATGCTGGCGCTTCAGGCCAGGACTTTAATCCACTGTGCCACAGCAATGGTCCAGCACAACTACTTTGGAAAACAGTAGTTTGTTGTTATTTCCTGAATGGAGGAAATGTATACTTTATGATCCTGTAATCCTAATCTTGGTTATGTAACCAACAGAAAAGCATGCAAACAAGACACCAAGAGGGAGAGGTACCAAGATGGCAGAATAGGGAGGGAGCTTACTGCTCTAGTCTAGGGGAAGATAGTTTAAAAAATGTGGAGAGAGTGCAATCTCAGGGAAGAACTAAGGAGAAAATGGCAGAGGAAACTCCATGCAAAATAGAGGGACACTGTGGACCTGTGTGGAGGGTGTGGGCAAGCGCAACTCAGGACCCTAGCAGCTGAGAACCTCAGCACTAGCTTTGAAGTGAGGTGAGACCAGACTGTGGCAGCCCAGGCCACTGGTGATAAAGCTGCAGAAGAGCCTGGTGTGAGTCTGGCTTGGAGACCTGTGGGGGCAGAGTACCTGCCAATCTGGAGGAAAAAAAGGGGGCACGATTCTCTCTCCCCAACTATAAGCACCAGTGTCCTGTAGCTGAGAGGCAGTGGGCCCCGTTTTGGACAAATACAAAAGCTGCACCAGCTCGTGTCCATGTGCCCAGCAACCAGCCAAGAGGAGATGCCTGAGTTTGGCTGGGAGAATTTATAGGGGACTGGGTGCTTGTTACTGTGGGAGCCTTGTGTATTGGGACTGTGGAAACACTGTGGCTGCCTGGGAGGGCACAGGGTGTGGCTGGGTCTTTGGGAAGTCACTGTGGGCAGCTCCACACACTCAGGGCTCCCTGATTCTCTGCTGAGGGTCACTGCTGCGGGATCTGTGCTCACACAGATCCTTTGTGTGGTTCTTGTGGCAGTGCGGATAAATACTATAGCCACTGGGGCTAGTACCCAGGCATTGGTCTTCTTTGAGGAAAGGAGGTGAGTGTGAGACTATGCCAACAGAACTGAACAAACCTCACCTCTGATTTAAAAAAATAAAAAAAGGAGATTTACCATGCTCTATTTGGGAGTCACCTTGGACACTCCCCTCACCCTGGAGCACTGAACAGAGCTCCCTGGTCACACACAGCACATGTCTCAGGGTATTCACTGAAAAAGGAGACACTCCACTAAGGCACAGATGCGTAGTCCAAAGATTAAAGCCATCACAGGAGGAAAAATGCACCAACAAGTATCTCCACAAATGCCTAAAAATAAACACAGCAATTCAATAAATAAGAATAAGGAAGAGAACATGACACCCCAAAGGAACATAACAACACTTCAATAATAGAATGTGAAAATGAGGAGATTGAAGAAATGCCCCAGAAATGAAATTCAAAAAAATTGATTGTAGGATTACTTAGAAATAATCAGAAGCAAATTCATGAGCTAAAGAAATTGGTATATGAAATGGAAGAAATTCTTTCTCATGAAAGTGAGATTTTAAAGAGAAATCAAAACAAAATATTATAAATACAGAATTCAATAGATTAAATAAAAATGTGATGGAAACTCTTAACAACAGAATTGGTGAGGCAGAAGAAAGAATATCCGAGTTAGAAGACAAATCTCTGGAAATTTTACAGTCAAACAAAAAAAATAAAGAAAAAGAAGAAGAAATTTGAAAACCAAAAAACAGTGTGGGAGATATATGAGATACTATCAAATTACCCAACATATGGGCCTTAGGAGTTCCTGAAGGCATGAAAAGAAGGTATGGATTAGAAGGCCTTTTTTAGTGGAATAATTACAGAAAACTTCCCTAATTTGGAGAAAGAAAGGGATATCCAAGTCCAGGAAGCACACAGAGCTCCTAATAGACATGACCAGAAAGGATCTTCACCATGGCACATTATAGTCAAACTCTCCACAGTAAAACAGAAAGAAAAGATTCTAAAATGTGCATGAGAAAAACACTGGATTACTTTCAGAGGATCTCCAATTAGACGCACAGCTGACTTCTCATTAGAAACCCTACAGGCTAGGAGAGAATGACGAGATATATTCCAAGGTTTAAGAGAAAAAAAACCTGTCAACCCAGAATACTGTACCCTGCAAAGCTCCCATTTATGAAGGGCAGTGAAATAAAGAGCTTCCATAACAAACAGAAATTGAGAGAATTTGTCACCACTCGTCCAGGCTTACAAAAGAGTCTTAAGGATGTGCTACACACAGAAACACAGAAACATGGACATCACTATGAAAGAAGGTGAAGGCAGAAAATATCCCAGTAAAAGCACAAAAGGAATCCAAAGTAAGCAACAGGAATATTTTTGGAGAAATGGCAGGGGCAAATTGTTACTTACCAACAGTCACCTTGAATGTAAATGGCCTCAACTCTCCAGTTAAAAGACACAGACTGGCTGAATGGATTTAAAAACAAACCCCATCTATTTGCTGCCTACAAGAAATACATCTCACCAAGATACATGCAGACTGAAAGTGAAAGGGGCCTGGCACTGTGGCACAGTCAGTTAATCCTCCCCCTATGGTGCTGGCATCCCATATGGGTGGTGGTTCATGTCCCTGCTGCTCCTCTTCTGATCCAGCTCTCTGCTATGGCCTGAGAAAGCAGAAGATGGCCCAAGTGCTTGGGTCTCTGAGCCCACATGGGAGACCTGGAAGAAGCTCCTGACTCCTGGCTTTGGATTGTCTCAGCTCTTGCCATTGCAGCCATTTGTGGAATGAATCAACAGGTGGAAGATATTTCTCTCTATCTCTCCCTCTCACTGTCTGTAACTCTATCAAACAAATAAATAATATCTTTTTTTTTAAAAAAAAGAGAAAGTGAAAGGATGGAAAAAGATATTCTATGCTAACAGAAACAAAAAAAGAGCTGTCGTAAAAAAAGTCAATTTGTCTGATATTATCATCAGACTTCAACACAAAAACTTAAAAGAGACAAAGAAGGGCACTATGCAATGATTAAGGGATCAATCCAACAGGAATATGTGTCTATAATAAATGTATAGGCACCTAATTATAGGGCATCTGGCTATTTAAAAGAAATGTTAATGTATCTAAAGGGAGACACAGACTCTCATACAATAGTAATGGGGGACTTCAAAACTTACTTTCAGCAATGGATAGATCAACCAGGCAGAAAATCAGCAAGGAAACAACAGTTAATCAACACTATAGACCAAATGGACTTAATGGATAGCTACAGAATTTTCATCCTACGTTGCATGGGACTTTCTGTAGAATAGACCACAGGCTGGGCCATAAAGCAAGTCTCAGGAAATACAGAAAAATTGAAATCATACCATGCATCATCTCTGACATTCAGTGGAATGAAGCTGGAAATCAACAAGTCAAGAATCTCTAGAGCATATGCAAACACATGGAGACTGAACAGCATGCTCATGAATGAACACTGAGTCATGGAAGAAATCAAAAGAGAAGTCAAAAAAATGTTGAGGAACAGTTTTTTTTTCCATACTATTCGTTGAACTCTTCACTAAGTATAGCATTAATCTTCTGTGTATAAAATTAATTGAAAATAGGTCTTAGTAAAAAAATAAGAATGGGAATAGGAGAGGGAAGAGGAAGAGGAATAAGGGTGGGTATGGTGGGAAGCAATCATTATCACCATGTTCCTAAAGTTGTATTTATGAAGTGCATTAAGTTTGTATACCTTAAATAAAAGGTTTCTAAGGGGAAAAAAGCCAAAAAAAGAGAAAAGCTATGCATGGATTTCAAAGTTTCTCTGCACCAAAATAAATGTTTAATTTCATTTACCTGCCCCTTAAAAATAAAAAAAAAAGACACCAAGAGATATCTATAAAAATGCTCATGGCAGCAATTTCCAAAAGTAGCCCCAAAATTGGAAGTAATTCATAAGTGTCCATTAAAAGCAGACTAGCTTAATCAACCACATCATATTTAAGCACGAAAACACTACACAGTCACAAAAATAAATGAACTACATTTGCATTCTATAAGACAGGTAGATAAACCTCACAAATATAACATCAGATGAAACACAGAATACCAAAAAACGTTATTCTGTGATTCTACTTATATATAGTCCCCAAAACCTAACTATCAAAGGCAAACTGTCACTGAAGTGTTTAGGGATGCATGTAACTGTAGAACTAAGAAGAATTCCAGGGAAGTGTTTCAGTTAGAGCCCTGAGGATGCTTAGCTCTGGGAAGGCGTGGGGAGCAGTGTTTGGGAAGAGGTTTTGGGGAGGCCTCTGGGGTGCTTGCTTCCAGGCTCGTAAGGTGGTCATGTAGGTGTTTATGCTCTGGCAATCTACTGAGTTGAATCTTCTGATCTGTACCCTTTTCTGTATGTATTATAGTGTAAGAGTGAATGGAGGCTTATCTGCTGATGAGCAGCTCAGCATACGGACACCAAGAGTCTTAATGTTTAAACATGTGCTATTCCCAGAATTATTTCTGTGCCTTTTTTTTAAACTAAAAGATTTATTTGATTTACTTGAAAGGTAGCGTGACAAAGAGAGAAAGATCTTCGATATGCTGGTTCACTCCTTAAATGACTACAATGGCTAAGGCTGGGCCAGGCTGCAGCCTGAAGCCAGGAACTCTTCTGGTCTCCCATGTGGATGGCAGGAACCCAAATACTTGAGCCATCTTCTGCTGCTTTCCTAAGCTCCTTAGCAGGGAGCTGGATTGGAAGTGGGACGCCCTGGACTCGAACCAGGCTCCAATATGGGATGCCAGTGTTGTAAGCAGTGCTTTAACTTGCTGGGCTGCAACACTAGCCCCTGAGTGTCTTGATGTTATCTTTCAGTCTGCTTATGTCAGGTATTCTCATAGAGACACTTCCAAAGCTGATGGCACAAAAACCAGTTGAAAAGATAAACCAAGAAAGTAGAAGCAAATTATTCAGAGACATGGTGGAAATCATTAGAATAATTAGAAGCAGGCTGGGTGTTGTGGCACAGTGAGTTAATCCGCTGTACTGGGATGCACGCATCCTACACTGGAGCACCTGGGATGGAGTCCCACCTCCACTTCTAATACAGCTCCTGCCAACGTGCAGCCTGGGAGGCAGCAGGTCATGGCTCAAGTATATGGGTCCCTGACACCCATGTGGGAGACCTCGACTGAGTTCCAGGCTCATGGCTTCAGCTTGGCCCAACCATGTCTGCTGTGAGCATTCGGGGAATGAATCAGTGCATGGAAGATCTCTTAATCTTCCTCTCTCTGTCACTGCCTTTCAAATAAAATTAAATAAATAAATAAACTAAAAATATAATTAGGAATAGGAAATTCTGTAAAAGCCGTTTGCTTTTTGAGTGTGGCAGACACGGAGGAGAAGACTGCTGTCCATTTTAAACCCTGTCAACTGTTGGATTGTTGTTTGGTTATTGCCATGTTCATTTGACTTCGCTGAATGTAATTAGACATTTGTGAGATACCATGTCATATCATTCTCATCTACTTCATTTAGGAATCACTTTCTGAGTGTGTGGAATTAGGATTAGCCTGAGAATAATGTCCAGTTTGTCGCATCTATACTGCAGCTGGCAGGGGACGGTAAACACTACTTCTTTTAAAGCACTTATAGGAGTTATGGCTAATTAATGACTAATTATTGCAGAAATTCTGAAATATGATTTTATAATTACTTCTTTTTGCATTTTAGATTTACAGAAACAAGGCAGGTTTACCACTGTATTGTACATGGACAAGCTGGAAGTAATGAACATTTCTATGCAAGAGTTTGAAAAGCAGCTAATATTATCAAATCAAAAGTATACCATCAAGGATAAAAGTGAAACTTCCACATGTGTTCATCACCAGCATTAAACATTTATATATAATCTAAGAATTATATTTTAAACAATAAAATAAAACACATTTGTGTTTCTTCTGCTCTACTTACATACATCTTTTTGAGTTTCTTTTAAGATTTATTTAATTCATTTATTTGAAAGGCAGAGTGACAGAGATCCTGTGATTCACTCCCCAGATGCCTGCAACAGGTGGGGCTGGGTCGGGCCAAACCCAACTCCATGTAGTTCTCCCATGTGGGTGGCAGAGACCCAAAGACTTGGGTTTTCACCCCCTGCCTTCCCAGGCACATTAACAGGAAGCTGGATCAGAGGTGGAGTAGCTGGGGTTTGAACCCCCATTCAGATAGGGGATGTGGGCATCATCAATGCTGGCTTTTAACCCATTGTGCTATAATACCGAAGTTTAGCTATCAAAAAAGCTAGCTTTACTGTAATTTCTGAGACCTTTAAATGCCTTGTTTCATTATGTTTAATAAATACTTATTTATATTCCCTCTTTCAAAACTGATAGTATTTTTTCAATTTCTTCAAGGTTATTTTTCTTAAGATGTAGGTATTAGAGCCGGCACTGTGGTGTGGCTGGTAAGGTCTGCAGTGCTGGCATCTCACATGGGTGCTGGTTTGAGTCCTGGATGTTCAACTTGTAATCCATCTCCCTGCTAATGCACCTGAGAAAGCAGCAGAGGATGGCCCAAGTGCTTGGGCCCCTGCATCCGCATGGGAGACCTGGATGAAGCCTGTAGCTCCTGGCTTTGGCGTGGCCCAGCTCTGACTGTTGCAGCCATTTGGAGAGTGAACCAGTGGATAGAAGACTTCTCTCTCTCTCTCTCTCTCTCTCTCTCTCTTTCTCTCTCTCTCCCCTGTCTGAAACACTGACTTTCAAATAAGTAAATCTTTTTTAAAAATGTAGGTACTATCATGCATACTATCTGCTAAATATTCTCTTCATTAAAATTTAAATTATTATTTGAAGGGCAGAGAGAAGACAGACAGACCTCTGAATTGCTGGCTCACTCCCCAAAGTCCAGCAAGGTGCCCCCATGGGGACTGAAACCTGGGAACTCAATCCAGGTCTCCCACAAGGGTGGCAGGAACCGATCACTGGAACCGTCACTGCTGCCCGCCATGGTCTGCACTACTAGGAGACTGGAGTCAGAGGTGGAGCCGAGTTTGGAACCTAGGCACTCAACATGGGATACAGGCTTCCCAACCAATGTCTTAACTGCCAGGTCAAATGGCCACCTCTGCCAAATACTTTAGATGAAGAAAAATGTAAGACAAATGTTCTAGAGAAAGGGTCTTAGGTTTTTATTGTTTTGCTTTGATTTTATGTCACACAGCAATCTCACAGAGTACAATGCTCAGAAGAGCTTGTCATATTGAATCACACTGAATATTACAGCATATAATATAGCATCATTGTAATGGACTACTCCAATCTTGGGTGAAAAGTCAGAGCTTCTAAGGTAAGAAAAGTGATGCATCGTATATACCACCTAATGGAAAGTAACTTTCCTATCAGCCATGTCAGTGTCTCTCCATTCATGCCACACACGCTGGATGCCTGCTCTGCCAGGCCCTGTGCTGGGCTCCGTGCACACCAAGATGGACAAGATCAGACCCTTCCCCGGCGGCCACTCCCAGCCTAGTGGAGACAGCTGACCAGCGAGTGGAGAGTTCCAAAACGAGGGGGCCTGGCCTCAGACAGATCCACAGTCTCTCTCTCTCTCACCCTGCTCTCTTTTTCACTAATAAATTGACAGGGCGGGGCGGGGGGCTGGGGAATCCTGGCAAGGTAGATTAACAGGCAAAGGCTTTTGCAGCACAGTAATTCATGAGAGGGGTTCATTTGCCTTGTGGAAAGAATCTGAAGATGTAGGCCTGTCTGCCTACACTCCAGGATGAGAGCTCCCCACGGTGGGGCTCTGACCCTGGGAGAGGCACGGGGACAAAGCACCCGGCAAACGGAAAGGGGAGAGCAGAGAGCAGGGAAGGCACCCCTGGATTCCTGTTGGCGGGATTCCGCGTGGGTGGACAGGTGACCTGGTGGGAAAGTCAGACATCTGAGTGTTTGTGACCGGCCTTGGTGCGATTGTTACTGTCGTAGGTGTGGAGGCATGAGGGACTCTCATCACTGTGGGGGAGGGGTTCTCAGCATCCCAGGGAGGCCCGCGGGGTGAGGAAAGGAGAGACTGCTCTGCTCAGGCTGCACTGCACACGTGGGACAGTCAAAAAGAGCTGGGAAGATGTTTAGGGACCCGCAAATTGTTCAGTGAGGCTCAGGCAGGGACTGGGTGTCCAAAGGAGCCAACGCCTTCTTATTCAACAACAAGCAGTCCATCACCATGATTATTCTTACCCTGGACAGATTTGGGGTCAGGAAGCACAACTCAGTGGGGAAGAAAAGAGTCTCCTGTGGAGGGTGAGGAGGAAAAAAAGAACCGGTGGGCAGAGTTCGAGTCCTCAGGGCTGCAGTCCACCGGAGACAAAGCTTTGTAATATTCATCGTCCCCATCGAGCACTTTGACTTGGCTGCAACAAAGACAAGAAGAGGATTTTCTACAGAACAAGCAAACACAGGCCAGTGGGCATCACTGAGAGAGCTGAGGGTGTGTGCGTCACTGGAACAGGGTAGGAGCCCAACGCTGAGGACAGCTCGGGCAGCTCAGGGTCAGATCCGCCACATGGATCCCCTCCGGCTCCCACACGGATAACAGGTCCAATCTAGCAGTGCACGGAAGCTATGGTCGTAGGGCAACTTGGTTTGTGTGATTAAAATGTCTGTCTCTATCTGTTTCCCTCAAGTTGAGAAAGTTTCCCACCTGACCTCTCCCAATTCTAGAACTAGTGCCAATGACCTATTTCATTGCTATTCCCAGTCAAGATGCTAACAATCAACTGAGCCCCACACTCCTCACCAGCCTCTGTTACCCTCTGGGGGAGGTCTTCCCTCTGTGCATGTTTTAGGGATAGGGTAACGTGGAGGAAGTAGCCTACTTGTAGTCTGTGGAGTGCTCTTACTTGTGGAAGGAGAGTGTCATACAACCCACTACATGCTTCCAGTTGTGAAGAGGTACAATTCTCTGGAATAAAATCATGAGAAATAACATTCGCTCTTGGGCGATCATTTCAGTCTTTTCGGACAGAGTAGATTCAAGTTTTGTGTACTTGCTACTGTAAAAAGTAGCTTCCAATGTCAATAATAGTGGCATAGCCAGATTGCATATTTTTAGAAGCCTCTCTGGAAAGTTTTGCATTTTCTGTAATATCACAAAGGACCCCTTCTGTTTACAGTTGCTTAGAACTAAGAAGACAGATATTTACCCAAGTTTTCTTGGCTTCCTCTTGCTCCCTTGATATTCTAGAGTTCCCTGTGGAGAGGGCCAAGAACACACAGTCAAAGCAAAGCAGCAAGTCGTTAATTTTTAATTCAAAGTGATTTTGTGTTGAATGCAAGCAGATGCTGATAATATCAGAAGTCACAGCATAATTTTTTTGATCAAAGGGCTCAAGTGAGCCTGATGAAGCATGCATCTTGCTCGTCTTTGATAAACCACATCAATTATTCACCGTGAAGGCAGACATCCTGACATGAAAGCAACAGATAAAGAGCCTAAGCACATGTTCAAGACGAGAGCATAAGAGAGTGGGGGTGGGGCTGGAGGGGCTGGAACAGGTATTAATAACAGAATTATTAACTGGAAACAAAGCCAGGGAAACAGCTTTATGGCCACTTTGAACTCACATTTAACTGGTTATAGTACATGGTGTCCTCAGGGCTACTCAACATTTTGGGTTGCTGACATCGCCGGTGAGGTGTTCGCTGCTTCTGGGCAAGACCAGTTGCTGAACCTGCAACAGGATAGCAAAACTTGACTGCAAATAGCCCAGGTGTTGGGAGAATTAAGTGAAAAACGGCTGTTCCCATCAACGCACTGGGTCCCATTGCACTGGGCGCTTTTGAAGCTTTGCTAATATTGGGAGCAATGTCATCCTCAGAAACATACACACAGGGGAGTGCTCGACGTACACAGGGCTGCCGCTGTCTGTGACTTTGCCTTAATCTTTCTGATCTGACTCGGCGGCCCACCGTGAGGGCGAGCCACCTGGTGTGTCCTTACTCCAGTGGTCAGTTTCTGAAGAGTGCAGTGCCTTTCATGGGCTAACTCCGTTAGGACAATCAAGACAATCTGCGATCATCTGTACCACAGCCTACAGCGAGAGTTCAAAGACATATGGAGTACACACACTCCTGGGGAGATGAGAAGCCAACCTTTTGGTGGGATACATTTTTGAGGGGAAAATGGCTTGAGCTAGTATTTACTGAAATGCTTTGTACAATCCCACTGAGCCATGCAGTCTCTGGAGGTGGTATCAGAAGGGGAGAGGTTGATTGCTCGAGTTTGTGGAGCTGCTTCACTCTGTTAGCCTTGGTTTCAGAGCCTGGACCCAGAGTGCGCTGGAGATTGGAAACCACGTGTCAGATGAAGTCATGATTCACTTCCTGTCCAAGCAAAGGACTCTCCAGGAATCTGCTGTCCTTTTGGATCTGTATCTGAATCAGGACTCAGCAGTTCTAACTTCCTGCCAACCCACACACACATACACCCCCACACATACCCCACACATACACGTGTGCGTATAAAACTGCCACAGAATCTCATTTATGAATATCACAGTATATGAAAGAGAGGCCACTTTCCTGACAGGGTGTTTATGATAAACTATCCATAAAAGACTTGGAGATTTGTACTGGGAATCATATTTTAATTTCACTTATGATTTGCACCAGTTAAGGAAATACTAGAGAATTTTTCAGAGTGACTCAGCGAGGGCCATTATGAATAACAGATTATCTGTTTCCTAAGTATGACGTTTTGCATCTTGATTTTTCTGGAATTGGGACATAGCTATGTCTGAAAAAGAAGATTAGAATTATAAAGAACTTCATAAACTGTCCATTCTAAACACTCATTCTCTTCAGGGGAGAAATGGAGGCTCAAAACCTCAGATCAAGTGGTAGGACCAATCCTTTTCTAGCAAGTAGGTTTTTTTTTTAAGAGCCAAGACAATCTTTTTTGTTTTTAGATTTTTTTTATTTCATAGAGAGAGAGAGAGAGAGAGAGAGAGAGAATTAGCAGAAAGCTGGAGTCAGGAACCAGAACCAGGTATCAAAACCAGGTACCCTGATATGGGATGTGGGCATTTCAAGTGGCACTTTTAAAAAAAAAAAGATTTTTATTTATTTATTTATTTATTTGAGAGGCAGAATTACAGAGCAAGAAGGGGAAAGACAGAGAAAGAGGTCTTCCATTCACTGGTTCACTCCCCAAATGGCTTTAATAGCTGGAGCTGGGTCGATCCAAAGCCAGGAGCCAGGAGCTTATTCCAGGTCTCCCATGTGGGTTCAGGGGCTCAAGCACTTGAGTCATCTTCTACTGATTTCCCAGGCTATAAGCAGAGAGCTGGACTGGAAGAGGAGCTGCCAGGACTCGAACCAACACCCATATGGGATGCCAGCACTGCAGGGTGGAGGCTTAACCTACTATGCCAGATGCATCTTGTCTTTTTTTTTTTGACAGGCAGAGTGGACAGTGAGAGAGAGAGACAGAGAGAAAGGTCTTCCTTTTGCCGTTGGTTCGCCCTCCAATGGCCGCTGCTGCCAGCGCATCGTGCTGATCCGAAGCCAGAAGCCAGGTGCTTCTCCTGGTCTCCCATGGGGTGCAGGGCCCAAGCCCTTGGGCCATCCTCCACTGCACTCCCTGGCCAAAGCAGAGAGCTGGCCTGGAAGAGGGGCAACCGGGACAGAATCCGGCGCCCCGACTGGGACTAGAACCTGGTGTGCTGGCGCCGCAAGGCGGAGGATTAGCCTATTGAGCCACGGCGCCAGCCCCAGATGGCATCTTAATGTCTATGCAAAATGCCTACTCCTAGCAAGTATTTTTTTAAATTATTTTAATTGTACATTTTTATGGATTGTACTGTTGTAATTCAACACATGTATTCAGTGTGTGATGATCAAATCAGGTTAGCATTTCCATCTCCTTATATCTTAAAAATAATTTTAATTAACACTTGTACATATTTATGGGGTATAGTGTGGCACTTTAATAAAGGTATACAGTGTGTATTGGCCAAATCAGGCAAAATAAGCTTTCCTTCTTCTTGTCATTACTTTATGTTTGGAGGCTTTAAGATCTATTTATTTACAAAATAGGTTGTTGTGAACCACAGTGATTCCACTAATTTTTTTAACTAAAGCATACTGTATTTTTTAAAAATTTTATTTGAAAGTCAGAGTTACAGAGAGGCAGAGGCAGAGAGAGAGAGAGAAGTTTTCCATCTGATGGTTCACTCCCTAAATGGCTGCAACGGCCGGAGGTGGGCCAATCCGAAGCCAGGAGCCAAGAGCTTCATCTGGGTCTCCCACGTGGGTACAGGGGCCCAAGGGCTTGGTCCATCTTCTACTGCTTTCTCAGGCCATAGCAGAGAGCTGGATCAGAAGTGGAGCAGCCAGGACTCAAACCAGTGACCACAAGGGATGCTGGTATTGCAGGCACTGCTTAGCCCCCTATGCCACAGCACTGGCCTCCATACTCTCTTTCTTAATAAGAAACCTTTTTATTAAGTTAAAGGTCTATTAGAAGTAAGCTCAATAAAAAGATACTGATTAGCATAGAAACTGGTGTTGCTTGCAGAGGGTTCCAACAGCCTTAACAGAAATCCCTGTCTACATCTTCAGAGCACAGGGCTCTGGCCTGCTGTGCTGCTACCCTCTTTCGAGTACAAGGAATGCAGAATTGAAATGGGATCTTTCTGATGGTTCCAACAATCCTACTTCCTGTTTGCGTGCAAAGTCCACGTGAGGTGGTGAGGCCCTTGTGTGTTTTATAGGCGCTTTCCCATTTATAGATGAATGAACAGAAGTCTCCGGAGGTCAGGTTGCTGGTGTGAACACGCATGGGAGGCCTGACATCTGCTCTCCCTTAGACTTTCTAATATTGCAGGAATTCTATCCAGGGCAATTCAAAGGACTGATCTTAAATAGTTTCTGGGTTCAGCTGAAGTTCAGCCCGGTTCAGCTGGACTTTATATTTAGGTGATGTTTACACTTGATCAGAGGCTTTTATTTGTTGCAATTGGCAATGCTTTGTATAAGATGTGGTGCTTAACTTTTACTCCTGACAAACTCGCTGTTCCATGGGCTGGTGTTCTTTTCCTGACTCTTAAAGGTATTAAAATCATTAGATAGAAATTTCCTCAATTTTAACATTTCTTCCCATGAATTAAAAAGAAAAAACTGCTGGTGTCGTATCATATGGCTTCTGTACTACACTAGATCATGGGATAAGCTGGTTGCCTCATTTAGCATAAAATGTTAATTTTCATTCTTTTAAGTTTCGTGTCTCCATATATCCCAGTATTCTGCAAACAGTGCTGCAACTTCCAGGTGCTTTGCCACTGGAACAAATCTGAGTGCTGTTGACATGTGACCAAATATAAGTAATTAGTAAATAAGTAAATAGGAAATGCATCATTTAATAAATGCCGTAGGAACAACCTGAGAGCAATATGCAAACATATAACTTAAATATAGACAGTACAACATGTATCACACATGCAAAGTACCTTGCTGGGTATTGTGGGGAAGGCAGAGAAATCAGACAAAGTCCTTGCTTTCAAGTCCAGTAGTGGATACTGAATCTAAAGGGGTTAGATGTCTTGTTTAAGGCCACAAGCTTCTGCTTCTGGACTCCAATCAGTTTTTTTTTTTTTTTTTTTGACAGGCAGAGTGGACAGTGAGAGAGAGAGACAGAGAGAAAGGTCTTCCTTTGCCGTTGGTTCACCCTCCAATGGCCGCCGCGGCTGGCGCGCTGCGGCCGGCGCACCGCGCTGATCCGATGGCAGGAGCCAGGAGCTTTTTCCTGGTCTCCCATGGGGTGCAGGGCCCAAGCACCTGGGCCATCCTCCACTGCACTCCCTGGCCACAGCAGAGGGCTGGCCTGGAAGAGGGGCAACCGGGACAGAATCCGGCGCCCTGACCGGGACTAGAACCCGGTGTGCCGGCGCCGCTAGGCGGAGGATTAGCCTAGTGAGCCGCGGCGCCGGCCATCCAATCAGTTTTTAATATAAATCATAAATCCTTTGCTTTTTTCAGTGTACTTGTTGATTCTCATAGGCTACAATAAATTCCATGAGTTGTATAGTTAAAAATTTTAAACATTCCCATAAAAACCTTAGAAGGAAATAAGACTGTCTCAACTTGGGAAGAAGATACTACTGGCAAAGATGGGTTCAATTATATTAAAGTAAAATATTTATGTTACTGTAAGTACCAGACTTAAGATGAAAGGAAGTGCAACAGAAAGATAAAAATAATTTAAAAATACATATCCAGAAAAAATACATAGCCATATGCATATAGTAGAAGGGCTGAGACAAGAGAGAGAAACATTCGAATACGTTGAAATACAGTCAGGAAGTAGGATAGTGAGAAGTGCTAAATCACCTTGATAAAGAACTTCAGTTAGAAGCAGTCATAGGTTGAGCATCTGAAAATCTGAAATCTGAAGTGCCCCTGAATCGGAAACTTTGGTGAGTGCAGACACGATGCCGCAAGTCAGAGTCTACATCTGACCGCACGCGCTGAGTCGCAGTCAAAATGCAGGTGCACAACACAACAATTTATTCAGCATCCCCAACACAAAAAATATCATATAAGATTCCCTTCTGGCTTATGTGTATAGGATACATATGAGACATAAGTGAATGTCATGTTTAGACTTGGGTCCCTTTCCAAATACATCTCATTATGTTTATGCAAATATTCCACAATCTGAGAATATCCACAA